AACAAGAGTCATTTTATATATAAATTTTTCTGACTTTAATTCGTTAAACGTAGTACGCATTTTTAATTACTAAATTCAGTATAGTAAGGGTTTTTTTATATTTAAAAATCTGTCCAACACTGAAAATCCGTTGTATTGTAAAATTCATTATATCAAAATTCATTATAGAAAGAGTTGACTGTATTTGGGGGAGTAGGTTAATTACAGATCCATATTCTGGTAGACTTTGGATAATTTCATAATTGTATTTATGTTTTCGTAATACTTATTATTAGATTTCAACTATAATAATGCGGCGGCAACTCTGTTTCTTCTTATAGTAAAATCTCTGAATTCGTTTGGATCATTTGCTGATTGTCTTCGTACTAAGAGCAAATTTAGTGATGATAGGTGTCTTGGAAGTTGTGTTGTTAATGTTCTTACATCTTGTGAAAAGTTGATGACATTATCCTTGTAACCATTTTGCCCTCCTTTGAACTGATAAAATCATCATAGTAAACACTTGGGTAATTAGCATTTCTTCAATTTCTGTTAACTCTTTGATTTCCTCAGGTACTTTGTCTGGATTCATGTTGTTTTCTCTTGAAAATTTCCTTAGTTCCTTCTTTTCATTGTAGCAACGACGACACATATATTAATGAGCGTCATTGATAGAGTTCATTCATTGTATTCAGGATAGACATTGTACTAAATATCGTTCATTTTGTGTCAGAATTTTTGCAATGTGCGGCATTCATGTTCGCTAATATTGGTGGCTGATACCAGTTGGTCATTTATATTTATATTTTCTCTTTGGTTTCTTCCTTGGTTTATTAGATTTAACTCCATTGTTTCGTCATCGTCTCTTTGATTTACTTAATTTTGATTACTTGTCTCATTTATAATTTTGTTTTTTTGTCTTTGAAGTTCACATTTTCTTTTATTCTTGCGATTATTGCATTACTTACGTTCCTCATTGGTCTCGTTTGATCTTTTCTGTCTTTGTCATTCAGATTCACTTGTAAGTCTTTCTTTACATTTGTTTTCTGTTTCTTCTGCTCTTTTCTGACATTTTCGTTCACTTTTACGATCAAGACATGTTCGACATTGTTTAGAAGTTTCTTTGTTTTTGCTATTTCTTTTTCGGATTGTTTCAAGGTTAGTACTCATTTTATTTTACTTTTACTTATTAGTTTTATATAAATTAAATGTTTAGTAATTTTATGGTTATAATCATTTGTTCATGATTAGAAATTCAAACTGTTCTTTATTAATATTATTTTGTTACATTACATTATACAAAGAGGAATTTAATACATTTATTTATTAAGAACAACAAAATTAATCTATTTATTATACATTCTATTCTATTAACATTCAATTTATTTATTCATCAAAAATAAGGGCAGTGACATATATTACCTAATATTTTTAGGGGTGTGAGAGTAACTGCGTGGTATTAGAAAATCTTAGATTACACATACATTTAGGTATCACATGATATTACTGGCTTAGATTATGTAGATCATGTAATATCAATGGCTTAGATTTATTAGCATTACTAGCATATACATAAATGTCAAATTATAATTGTTATAAAAAAATCAATAAAATCATTTATTATCTGATAAACATTTCCTTAAATGTGTTTCATTACAAAGAGGTCATTTTCGCTGTGAAGGAAGAAGAGAAAAATCATCAAGAGTCCCTGAATTTTGTCTAGATTTTCCTTTAGGCTGCCCATGGCTAGCAGGATGCTTTGTTCGTTTATGGTTCGTCAAGTAAGTGAGAGTTAAAAAGTATTTATCACACTCAGAATAGCAAAGACGTGAATAGGTTATTTGGTCAATGGACGGACAATGTGCATCATACCCAGGAATTTTCAAAAGATCATAGTATTCAAGAAGGTGTATAGAGTTTGTGAAATGTCTGTTTCTGGCTTTTGTGACCGAAGGTAAAAAACCATTGTTTAACTGAAGAAAATCCATAGCCTCTTATGCGTAAGTTGATCCACAACAGCTTGTATCTGTATATCTTTTAATATCAAGAGAATATTGACACAGGTTACAATGATCTTCAATCCATGATCACAGCACAAACCATTCTGATGAGTCATTTCCATTTTCTTGTTGTTTCTTTTTTTGTTGTTTTCGTACTCCCACCTTTTCTTTTTCTTTTTCTGTACCTCCAAACTCCAGATTTTCAAATGGATTAGCAAGTTCTTCGACATATTGTGCATTTACGCTTCTTCCAAAAATCAAATTGTGATGCCAAATATCACAAAGCACTTCTTTAGCATATCGAAAGTTTTAAAGAGCCAATTCCGGATTAATCACTTTACCTTGTATATCTAAATGTGTTCTAAAGTAATCGATTGGTAGAGTAATACCTGCCAATTTTCTAGATAGTGTTGCTATATCCCTTTCAACAGGATTATACTTGAATTGTTCTGGTGTATGTGTCCGCACAGTGAGGTAATCTAAATCAAATTTTCAAAAAAGCTGAATGTATTTTTTAATATTCTTTAAATGTCTTGGATTCTCATCCGGTCCCCCATCCACTAATAATATTCAGATAGGTTGAATTTTTCCGTCGGTCTTTAACACATCATCATATTGAGGATCTAGAATAAGGCTTTCAAGGTCTTGCATATGCGTGAGTGAAGAAGTTCTAAGGGACTATTGACGACGTACAAAAATGGCAAGTTGTTCCGTTCTCAAATCATCATTTAATTCATTCGGTTTGATCATAAGGTAAACCGATGGAATTAACTTTTGCCCATATCCTGCAGGAAAGTCATGATCGGCTATACGAATAGGCTCGTGAACTGACTGTAATGTGCGGAATGTCTGACCTACAGCCAGTATCCCAAAACCTATCTTTGCCTTGTCATCTTGAGAAATGACAACAGATTTATCGGCAAAGACAGTGGCAAATTGCCTTGCACATTTAACAAACGCAAGACAGTAGTGACCATCAGGATGGTCCCGTATTTCAGTACGTGAAACTCCAGCTACTGCGACCTAAGCTGGATGATGATGCGCTTTTGCGGCAATGGAATTGGATTGACGAGGTAACAGGTAATTATTCAATATTATTCGCGCCATGTATACATTGTAGTTCTCTTCAAGATTCTTGTGTAAATTTTTGATAATTCGCACCTTAACAACTTCTTTCCTTCGTTTTTCATCAGCTGCTCCAAATTCGATTGAATCATGAATATGATCATGTAAATTCAGATGCTTGAAAAGAAGTGGAGGACAGCCAGGTTTATCATACTGTACCACTTCCTGATTTTCGATAAGTGCTTTCTTTCTTTTTTCTTTGCATCTTTGAGTATAACTTGCGTTCCTTTTTAACTTTATGATTTTCTTCTTGTTAGATTCGATTTCATCACGGAAGTTCTCTATTTTTGCATGAACATCATGCTGAATTTGAGGATCCGTGGTGATGTTGTAGACCTGCCTAAGTTCGGTAAGTTTTTCTTCAAGTTTTTTTATGTCATTCGCTAAATTTTTTTGAGCTAACGCATTTACAGAAATGTCTAATACAGGATCTACCAAACGAGTTCGAGTATTAGGAGGAGGAGGAGGAGTTGGGTCTTCCCTAATAACATGCAACCTTGGTCTCATTGTTTGTATATCATATAGGTTACACGGTGTAATCAGATAATTTCTAATTATATCATCAATTTCTGATTCGCCTTTACCTTTAATTTTATTCTATTCTTTCGCTGCTTCGCAACAAATATCAGCATGATTAGGGGTGCAGTTTCCTGTTTTAACCATAATACTGTATATATAAGCATTGGTAAACTCTTGATATTTGTTTGTAGGTGAAGCGTAAATAAGTTTTTTATTAAATTTAGGGCTAACTAAGAAAATTTAACAACTCATTTTAGCACTAGAGAGATAGAATAATGACGCATTTATTTTACGAAAGTTGAACGTGTCATGAAACTTTGTGACAAAACTCCTGTGGCAACGAGAACAGGTATGATCGTCATGGTACAAATAATTCCGTGAGTGGAATACCACCATGTGATATAATTATATCACATGGTGGTATTCCACTTGCCTTAGATCATAGTACCACTATATAATCTGAATACCACTATATAATCTAAATATCACTATATAATCTAAATACCACTATATGATCTAAATATCACCATATAATCTGAATATCACCATATAATCTAAAAGATATAGTCTAACTACCACCATATAATCTGAATAATATAATCTAATTATCACCATATAATCTATTTGTTTTCCTGTGTTGGGTATCTATTTTATATTCTAGCTACTCCTTTTAATCCTTCCTGATATTCATATTATTTACCACCATATAATCTAACTACCACCCACTATTTAATCTAACTACCATCATATAATCTAAGTATCACTATTTTCTTCCTGTTCCTGATTCATTTACATGATAAATTCTACATTGTTGGTATCGGCTTTCCAGCCTTATTTGGATACCTGGTTATATAGGCCAAAAGGGGGATTCTGGGACAGATTTCAAATAAACCTCAAATAGACCTCCAAACCCCGCCTACGAACTCAGTTTGCTATATGTAATATACTATTGTATTCAAACCTCTAG